AAGTTGACTGAAGTTCTAGAGAGAAATCGTGACCAGCTGGATCTATGAAGTCAGGTAAGAGAATAGTTAATCACTGATGACAGTGGCTAATCAATGCGCTATATATATTTTGAACTGACAGAGGTTGTAATTCATGGGCTTTTGGGTTTGGTCTCAGTGGATGAATGGTCAACAAGTGCGACTTGCAGCTGGAAGGTTCTGCGTGTGAACCCCGGTGGGTGCGTACAACTGAAGAGACTCAAACTGAGGCGACACTTCTATCTAGTATCCTCTATGGTTTTCCAACGGTTCTATAAATGATGTTAATTCATGGTTAAACCTGTAAATATACATGCTACACAAACAGGCATACGCTCGTCTACACAAACACGCTAATGAACATGTTATGGTTTTAGTGTTTACGGGGATTAATGAATAGTGTTACGAAGTTATATATATATATATATATATATATACACCCTGCCACCATTGTGAAAAATAAAATTAATGTAAATGAAATAAATAAAAAGTTATGTAATTAAAAAGGAGAGATTTTAGTGCATGGGTGTTGTATGTATTAACAACGAAAGAGGTAAGTAGGGAAAGCCGTTATTGTTATAATTCCCTCGGGTTTCAAGGGGAATACAAGATTTCACCGGCAAATCTCCATTCCGCCCTGTTACACAACTGCCCACAATCTTCATTTCCTCTTCACATGATTCCCTTTATGTCACCCTCAGACCAACACGTCCTACTCGTCGTCTCTCCCATTCGGATTCATTTCGATGCCCTAGCTAGCAGGTGATGTCTCTCATCGGTCTCTTCAGTGAGTGCCCTGGTCTGTTTCCATTTCCCTTTGGCATTACTGTTAGTCAATAGGTTGTTGGTTATTTTACTGCTGACCGGAGTTCCTTGTTGTTAGTCTTTTCTCGCTGGCTATCGGGTCTTCAGTATGCAGTGAAGGTAATCGTAAATGAAAGTCCACAGCCTGTTGCAGATGCTTTTCGTAATGCGCCTATTCTCTGAAATATATAGAACCTCTCTCATGGACTTGACATTAGTATTGAGAATGTGAATCTCGTTCTCTATCCTGAGTGGTATAAGACGAATGAAAGTCTATCTTCCTTTTCTTATCTCACCTTTGACACCTTTATTCACATCGCCAGCCGTTGAAATGATCCTGCTGAGATAGGTGAAAGAGATCACTTCTTTTAGACATCCCTCGTTGATGGTGACCGATGGCTGCTGCTGTTATTGTTGTTTGGGGGTGTTGGTTGTCTTCGCCACCTCTGTCTTCTCTATGTTCGCTTGAATTCCTTTCTTCACTGTCAGTCTCCTCCACCAACCTGTTATTTTTCACCTGTAGTCCTTTGAGTTTATACGGTATTATGCATAAATTGTCCACGAAGTTCAAATCACCCACAGTCTTCTTGTCCGTCCAACGCTTGCATATTTTCTTGCTTCCCATGGCCTGTCATATAATCTAACCCTGTAAATACACTAGTTCTTGCTATGTACTTCATTCTACACTAAAAACTTTTGTTCTTGCGGTGAAATTTAAATCAATTGAGGTTCTTTAACGCTTAATTTTTAAAAAGTGTCAGAAAAAAAACATTTGAAACAGCCATCTTACGTATCAAATTCTCCAGCAGACGACTAATCCAGCCAAAAGTTAGAGATAAGCTACCAATTTTGGCTATTTCATTGTGTAATTTGTCAGTCTAATTATTCGTGTGATGCAAAGTATATCCACCATACACAACATCAAGTCCACAAACGTACTCGGGAATACTGTCAAGCCTGGCTAGCTAGGCACAGCAGAAAAAAAAGAATTCCAGCACCTCTATCTTCGAACACCTCGTCAACTCTGGAAATCGAGTATGCCCACATGACTGCTTCACAGAGCTACACAGAGTTTTTCAATATCATACGAAAGGACTTCAAATACGCCATCGATAAATAGCTGAATTATTGGCTATTACGGGTCTGAAAACGGACCTCTGCATTCAAAAGCACAACATACATTCACTCCCCTTATTGTGACCACAGTAATGTTCTTACTGCAGTTTCGCTTCATTTTATCATGTAAGTTTTATATTATTATTATTATTCTCATCATCCTTATTTCATTATCACTCTATTAATAATAGTAATTAATAATTTCTCCTTCACGTTCCCCAGTGGAACATTGGGCTTCAATCTAGTGGCTTGAAGTTTCTGTAGCAGTGTTCATTTTTACAGGATAGGCTTGCTAGCCTCATGCCCAGCCTTTCCTCTTTACCAGCATTATTTCTGGCTTAGCGAGGTAAAGGTGGGGTGCGCCGGCCGGGGATCGAACCCCGGACCATGTGCATAGTTGGCAAGCGTCCTAACCGCTGTGCCACCAACGCATATTATCACTCTATTACTGTTTATTAATAACATTGAGTTTTCATACAGATTTTATAAGAACACTTTGTCATCTTTCCACTCAACACAATTATATTGATTAGTCATTTTCTCACACTTATGATGTCGTCTGAACTTCTGACCCTTTTTTCTAACCTCTACTTAGTCATCCCCTTGTAGATTACACCTTCCATTATGTAATACATTTTCGAGGACAAATCTACTAGTATCTGACGGGTCTTATGAATTCTTTGTTAAATGTAAGAGTGAGGCAGTAACTCGTCGACAAAGACATTGCGAAGTGGTCTCACTACATTGTGAATTGGCAGAAGTAAGAATTCATGGACTGGCTACTGGATCAGGTACCAGGGGCTTAGTGGTCTGCGTGCTCGCCTTGTAACCGGGAAGTCATAAGTTCGACCCCGGTGTTGGGTGCGCGCTGTTGAAGAATCTCAAACCAAGACGAAACAGCTGTCCAGTACTCCTCCCTGGTGGTTTTCCAATGGTTCTCCTAACCAATGTCAGCTCACGATGAAATCCTCCAGCCAATCAAACAAAATTCCCACTGAACCAATACTTGAAAATATTAATACTACTGTTTACGTCTTTTTTCATAGCCTCACATATCTGATTTTTCTTTATATTAAAAATCAAGCTGAAAAACTTTGATAAACAGTAAAGCCTTATGAATTAAATCAGCTATCAATCAAGTTTTGGATTTTCAATACGAATGTCAGGTTAGTGATTTCAATATAATTCAAACACTTGGCGATCTCGTCACTGAAAGCATTTCCAACAAGTTACTGCTGACTTTTATCAACAGATGCTTTCGTTGGATCGATGCTGAGGATCAGTTGGTAAGAAAGTATTAGCAGCAAGAAACTCTGGAAGGCGATGAATCAAACAACAACAGCTTATTGGTCAATCAATATTCCGAAGGAATTGGAATTGGATCGGACACACATTGAGGATTCATGAATACTCCCCATCCAGACATTACTGAAAACAAAGCACGTGTAACGACAGAAGACAATGCCCAGGCAACAGAGAAAATCAAGAGATATTTTTAGATTTTTATGTACATTATTGTCAGCAGAGACACAGCAACTTCTGATTGGTTGTTTTTTTGCTGAAGGTTATTCTGTTATTGCTTATGCGACCGTTTCTCAGAAAGTTAAGCCATATATCTGCGAATCGTATTTGCACACGTTAATTCTGCTGTGATTGGCTGGTGATTTTTTCATGGTTAAGCTTTGTTATTCGTTTTTCTCATGACCGTAATTCGAAAAGTGAACATTGGCGTAAATTGCTGTCTACAATATTTGACTTGCAGACAGTTCTCACCACACAAGTAGTTCAGTGAAGAGTTTCTTTTCAGCAGTGAATTCATTCACTTCGCTGTACAATCGCAATTATTTACACTCATTTTTGTACGTGTGTGTGTGTACATTAGGTTTGTCCGATAAGAATGAAAATAATTTAGGGTTATTGGTGTCGAGACATTTCAAAAATATGATGAGTAATCAACACATAATAGAAGTTGAATAAGCATAGTACACTTACATAATAGAGTGGACAGTTAAATGAGTGAGTTGTGATTGGGATGCACATCAAAGAAACAAAGCAATATATGGAATTATGTAAGAGTTCTTGAAATTACACATGTCATAATGGGTTGGAATAAAAAAAATAAGCACACTAGTCAGTAGAAGTCAACACGGTTGTTACCATGATAGCAGAATTGGTTGGATTATTTTCTTTTGTATACATAACTCTGGTTTTTCCAACTGAATGGCTAAGGCTTCAGCAATGCAAAGAAGACGAAAGCGTATTGCCTCTGGTAGGTTGTTCTTCACTTTGTAGATTACTCTGAAAGAGGCGTTTTTTGAGATGCAATGGCCAGTGGTGACGAGTGGGGGTGTTCGATTGTGGCACTCCTTATACAACCATTGTAACCTTTTCGTAGCTATGCGAGATAGTGTTCTTTGAGCTTTTTGGACAAGATACGCATCAAAAGACTAAGTCATTGCACCTGACTCCACAGCAATAGGTGAACTGATATATGCACACAGAAGTGACCAGATACGAGATCTTGTCCTTAAGGCTTTTGCAGATCAATGAATGACTGGAGAACACTACTCTCAGCTTTGCTGCCAAGAATGTTCTTTTCAAAGATGCTGAAATGCTTCTCTTGAGGATATCACAAGCTAAGTCCTCTATCTGGACTTTTGGTTTGATATTCTTGTCGATGAATCTTAGTGGGTATCCATTTTAGATGAAGGTTTCTTTCAGAAGATCCATTTCTGCTTCCAGGGCGTCAGGACTGCAGATTTGTCAGACTCAAGTGTCAAGGGATTTAATCGAAGGAGGACATCGATGAGTAGCATCGTGCGCTAGGTAGTTCCTCAAAATGGAACTCGAATGGGAAATGATGAGTTTGGCGTCAGTCTGAGAGGTGACATGAAGAAGATCATGTGAAGAGGAGATGGAACCTTATGAGCAATCGATGAGTCAGTTAAAAGAGGCCTTGGAGAACAAAGTGAAATGGTGGCATTACACTTGAAACCCAAAGGATGGATAACAATGGAAATAATAATAATAATAAAAATGAAAAAAGAGGTTAGAAAACTTACTGGTTAGCAGACTAGCTGTCCTATCAGTTACATTCTGATTAATTGGATAATGTTCAGCCTGTGGAATCCATACACGTGATAAACTTTCATGACCATCTAGTAGACGACGTTTACGACTAGCTGAACGTTCTGGTAGACATGCCCCACCATGAATTAGTCTACCACGTGAATCATAAGCATATCCAACACCTTCATAACCTTGTGATTCACTAAAACCTTTTGATAAATGACTTTCAGTATTTCCACCGCTATAATTTGATTTTCTATCTAAACTATGCCCCTGGGATGATGCTGATCTATGCCGACGTTCAAGTTCTGCTTGAGCTTGTAATTGAATATTGGATAATTTAATCGGTGTAGATGGAGATAGTGTACTCTCTGATGGGATAGGATGATCACCAAACCATAGAGTGTTCATTGAACTTGAACGATGCTTTGAAGGATGAGTTCCAGTGACACCACTAAATGTTCGACGTTTTGTACTGATAATTAAACTGTGTTTAGAACCTTGAATTAAAAATAAAATATTATATTGGTGGCAGAAAAAGGAATTTAGATTTGACAGATAGATTGATTGATTGATTGATTTATTGATTTATTGATCGATTTACTCAAAGACTGTTAATTTTTATAACTATTCCTTTGTATCTATTAATTAACATCAAGTGTTAAATATTTTCAAGAATTAGTTTTGTAGGTATTTTGTTTGATTGAATGGAGGAGTTATCATGAGCTGACATCAGTTGGAGAACCACTGGAAAACCCACAGGGAGGAGTACTGGACAGCTGTTCCGTCAGCCTAGTTTGGGACTCTTCAGCAGTACGCACACACCGGGGTTCAAACCAGAAGATTCTGGTTACAAGGCCAGCGAGCTCGTCGACAATTAAGCCACTGGGACCTGCCCATCCAATGGCCAGCCCTTGAATTCTAACTTCTGCCAATTCACGACATAACACGACCATTTCGCAATGTCTTCTTCGATGAGTTACTGCCTCATCATCAACCTGCTGTACCCTAATGGTCATGGCTTCCCACAAGAACCCCAGGTTAACTGCCTGGATAGGGCCAGTCTCTAGTGAGCATCAGATTAATTTTCAAGTATTGGTGTTTTTTGTAGGGATTTTGTTTGATTGCATGAAGGATTTCATCATGAGCTGACATCAGCCGCGCTTTGTCATGAATTGGCAGGAGTAAGAATTCATGGTCTGGCTATTGGGTCGGATTCAAGTGGCTTAATGGTCTATGAGTTAGCTCACCTTGTCACCAGAAGGTCGTTGGTTCGAACCTGGGTGGTGGATGCGTACTGATGAAGAATCCCAAACTAGGACCAGAGAAACAGCTGCCCAGTACTCCCAACTGGTTTTCCAGTGTTTCTCTAACTGATGTCAACTCATTTTAAATATTTGTCACAAACCGACATCATTTAAAACCAGACAGGGCACTGTGCAACTGTTTAATCCCCTCAACAGTACACACCCACAATTCCGCCGCCAGGAATCGAAATTGGCACTCTTAGGTTAGTTAGAGCAAACCTGTTGACGACTATTCAGACATTTGGGTCAGAATTCAGTGACCCTTGAATTCTAACCGTGTCGACTCGTGATATTTATTATTATTATTCCCTTGGCTTCCGACTGAAACATAGAGCTTCAACAACATATCTGCACTTTATTCTATTTTCTTCTGTCTTCTTCAGCTCACCCCACAATTGCCCGTAACCTCTTATATCCTGCTGCACCTCGCCACACGACTCGCACCAATGACCCACCCATCGCTTCCTATACGGATTCCACTTCAGTGATGGTCTGCTTCCACAGTGGCGTGTGCCCAATCCATCTCGATTTCCTCTTACGCATTTTTGAGCTATAGGCTCTTGATTGGTTCGACCCTAGACTTTATTTATTGTTTGCTAATTATTTCCAGCCTTCAGTATGCAGCCAACCAGCGAAGGCGGCAGTTGATCATAAAAGTCTGCTGTCGCCTGTTGGAAATCGTTTTCGTGACACGCACGATAGGTTTCTGACCTGTAGAGAAGAATTGACTGGCTCTACATTTGTGTTGAACAGAATCCGAACGAATCTTATTTTTTTTTATATTTTTGATTACAGCTTGATCCCACACTGTATTTTTGGTACAAGTATGGAATTTTCAGCGTGGATATCGGTAGCCCAAATTTCGCAGGCCGACCATAGATATCAGGTGTGCGTCGGCGTGGGCTCGAACCCCGGACCATGTGCATGGTGGGCGAGAGTCCTAACCACTGTGCCACCGACTGTTTATGCTGACTGACTTTGACATATTCGTCCGTCTCACTGGCCTGTGGTTGAAACCGTGCTTCCTGACCAGATAGGTGAAAGGTAGTAACCTCTGTCAGATCTCTCCGATTGATGTTAATTGGTGGTACTGGTTGTTTTGGGGGTTGCTGTTGGTTGGTTGGTTGGTTGGTTAGTTATCTTCATCACCTCGTCTCCACCTTCTCTATGTTCACCTGGAGTCCTGTCTTTACTGTCTGCCAGCATCCACTTCTGTCATTTTTTGGTTTTCGCCGGCCTCTAAGTCTTCGAGTTTATGTGTGTTACACATTAAACATCCACGAGAAAGATTCACATCTTCTAGAGTCTTTTTATGGAAAGTGCAGTGTATTCCTGTCTTTTCACTCTCATGCACAGTCAGTCTTCCGTGTAATCTTGTCCACCACAATCATAAATATAATCGGTGATAGTAGGCAAGTATTCGCTTCGAACACCTACTGAGTTTTCCGTTGTGGATTATCTGAAACGTGGCATTGTCATATAGCCAGCTAGCTGTTGAATTAGGTTGATAAAGATACCGGACACTACAAGCTGTAGTGTTGAAGCAGTTTCAGAATGACTTCTCAGCCAGCGCTGTGGGTCAAAGTCCTTTTCGTAGTCGACAATATCAAGCTACAGGTTTCACTGCCATTCTATTCTTTGTTCAATTGCCAGCATTACACCATGCCAATTTCTACAGAGGCATAAGTCGCCTCGGGATATATATATCGCTGTCCTTACCAATGCATTCGATTGGAACCCACTTCATCTTGATAATATTGAACACCATTGACCACGACTTTCTAGTGTAGCTTCAGTAAATCCATCTAGTAGACATCAGTAAGCTGGCAGCTGATGTTCAGATTATGGGGTTTGTGGAGATTTAGGTAATATTTCAACTGTTCGATTTTTACCAGAAACCAACAGATCAGTTAGAGACAGATCACTGGTGAACGATCAATGAGCTTAGTCTCGTAACCTGAAGGCTATGGGTTCAATCCCTGGCCCCAGGATTGTGTGTGTGTATGTGCACCCACCAACAGGGTCCGAACTCAGGAACTTCTGGTTACAAGGCCAACATAGACCACTAAGCCACTGGGACCCGATCTAATGCCCAGCCAGTGAATTTCGACTTCTACAAATTCACAACATAATGCGACCACTAGCGAATGTCTTCGGCGAGTATTTGTCTTCACACCCAACCTACTGCACCCTACTGGTCACGACTTCCCACTAGAATCCCAGATCACTGCCTACCTTAATAGGACCATTCGCTAGCGTGCAACAAACTGGTATTGAAGTGTTGGTTTGCAGGGCCACTGTATCGGGTTCCAGTGACTTAATGGTCTACGAGATCGTTGGCCTTGTAACCAGAAGGTCCTAGATTCAAATCCTGGTGGTGGGTGCGTACTACTGAAGAGTCCCAAACTAGGACGAAAGAAACACCTGTCCAGTGCTCTCAGTTGGTTCTCCAATGGTTCTCTAACCGATATCAGCTCATGATGAAATCCTATTACCGAAATTGACTATTTGTCTACACATAAGTTTCTACAAGATTTTCATTTTTAGTGGGAAATGTCAAAACTTATTCTAAAATATTTTAATTGATTAAAACACGCCTAAATTTTGAATTTAAAAAGATGAAGAATAACAGTGAACAATGAATGCATTCCTTTCGATAACCCCTTCATTTCAGGTCGGTTCTGCAGTTATATGCATCCATAATAGTTAAGGAATATAATCAGGAGACGTATTAATATATGTGTTAAACTTGGACACTGTGGTGGTAGTAAGTAATTCCATATTAGTTTGTTTATTAGATGTATCACATACACAGTAAGTGAAACAGTATTATTACATGCTGGATGACGTTTCTTCTCACTCAGTCACTATTCCTATTGTTGCTTACTGTGAAATCTATGAATTCATAAATAGCGTATTACGTCATGCCCTTTAGGCATAACTTTACGTCCTGAGTGTATCTCTTATACATCCCCCTCCCCACGCCTAATGTATTAATTTTTTCCATAAAATTTATTTTAAAGAGTCGGCTCGCATGGATTTCATTTTTCCTCAACTCTGACCACAGCGTTTCCTGAAATTCAAGTGAGAATTCATCTCACTAGTAGGGTCCATCTGGTCAGAGGAGTGAGGACAAATACTCACCAGTGATAACTTTGGCTGGGGTGCCGGTTGCGCTAAATATATCATGAACTGATAAAAGTTAGAATCCATGAGCTGGCCACTGAATCGACTCCCAATGACTGAATGGTCTACAAGCCTCCTTGACTTGAAACCGGAGGGTCCTGGGTTCGGACCCTCTGTGGTGGGTGCCCACCGTCTGTCAGTCCCAAACTAGGACGAAACAGCTGTCCAGTAGTCCCTAACTGGTTCCCGATGGCTTTCTAACTGACATTAATCCGTGGTCGGACATGAAAATAAAGTTTGTTGCCTGTTTCAAAACACCTTCATACATTTGTACAAACAAGCCTTTTCTTTTCTGCTTGCTCATCATCTTATCTATTATGACACACCCACACACACATACAGAGATATTCAACTCCGTTTTCTATCCCTATCTCTGGTGTCATCATTCAGTGATATATGAAGTTTATAATTAGGCTGAATAAAATTCACTCAGAACACTAATCAGCTATATACACTACTTTATGATTAATTGTCATTCACAACCACTCACTGTGATATCTGTGATTCAACTTGGTGTTATATTTATTTTATTTTTTATTTATTTTGATTACAGCTTGATTCCACACCGTATTTTCAGTACAAGTATGGAATTCTCAGCATGCGATATCGGTAGCCCAAATTTTGCAGGCCAACCATAGATATCAGGTGTGCGCCGACAGGGGGATCGAACCCCAGACCATGTGCATGGTCGACGAGAGTCCTAACCACTGTGCCACCGACGCACATGCTTATTTGTTAATAAACACACATGTTTTAAAATGTAATGTGGTATCCAGTTTGATCACAAGGTGACTTCCGTGACAGAACCAATGGGAAACCAGCAAGGAGAACTGGAAAGCAGCTATTTCATCCTTATTTGGGACTGTTTACTCACCGGGGTCGAATCCAGGACCTTTAGGTTACAAGACGAGATGGATGACCATTCAACAACTAGGACGGTATCCAATGACAGATCTGCGAATTCTAACTTCTGCTAGTTCACGATGTATACATAGCGCGACCGCCGATTGTCAAGAGGAATATAGGCAACACTATCCCGTAGTCAGTCACAACTAGGGAGCACTGGATTAATTTTCAAGTGTGATCTCTTAATAATTTATCCATATATACATTTGGTATTTTTGATCTGGACAATTCAACGTTACTTTTGCAGCCCTGTGCCTTCCGAGTGAAATAGTGAGAACTTCAGGCTTGAAGCTTCACCTACACATTTTCGATGGCGTTGTTATGCCTATTACAGGATACAGGGGTGCTAGTCTCAGGCTCAAACTTCCCTTTTTTTCCAGGAGTACATCAATGTGACCGGGAATCGATTATGGAGAAAAATACAGTAGTAATATTAAGTTATGACAACGTTTTGAGCGCAATTTATAATCGCTCATAAAATCATATCAAGACATCTCACTCACAGAACTTTCGAACTTCATTTATATAATTCCATCACTATTTTTCATCGCTTGGTTTGATTGGTAGTAGTGATATTTTCCACATTTCTAGTATGAGTGGTGAGTCATTCCTATTTCACGCTTTGGGTATAGACTCCATGAACAAGGACTAAGTAATCAACCTCTCTTTATCTCCACCTACCTAGATTACTTTTTAGAATTTTAAACCTCTCTAAACTTATTGTGTGTGTTAATGCATTCATTGCAATGCTGAGCTTTTTTTCTAAATTACTTTTCTTCGTGGGAGCAATCATTCTAACCTTAGCTAAATTCTTATGTTCTGACAATCTCACTACTCCTGATCTCCTTGTATGACCTATGTAGTTGACCTTACTCAAGATCATTGCAAGATATTTTGTAAATTATATTTCTTTTTTTCGTCTAATTGGGTTAACCGACAGCGTCCTTTAACGTACAGAGCTTATCCTACCTGAGTGAGTTTGTCGGTTTGAATGCCATTCTAACTCCTGCTTTATTAGGAATCCTATGTAGGGTCTCAGATGTCCCCTCCCTCCTTATATGGTAGAACTACTGTAGATGCCTTATATTCTCTCTCATTTATATTATCATTATCAGTTTCATCATTATTTTTTTATTTTGCTTTTGACCTTTTCTGATCTTGCTAATGAATTTTATAGGATAGTTATTTAACATCAACGCCTCTTCTATCTATTTTATTTCATTATTTAGGTCTTTCTTTTTACTACTTAGTGTTACTGCTCAGTTTGTCAGACACTTAACTAGACCTGTTTTTACAGATAACGAACGGATGAGATGGATTAAAGTCTATATATATCAATTAGCAGAATGCGTTGGCTTTTAATAAAGGCTAGTGGGCAGTTTAACTTCTTTTGTTTGTTTTATTTTACAACCTAACATCATAGCTAATTCTCCTTGTCCGTTTTTAGCACCGTGAAAGTGAATCAAATTAAATCAAATTTATCCTGCCTGCGGCTGGCCGAGTAATAGGCCGCCCTTTTTAGGTGCGTCGGTGGCACAGTGGTTAGGACTCTCGCCGACCATGCACATGGTCCGGGGTTCGAGCCCGCACCGACGCACACCTGATATCTATGGTCGGCCTGCAAAATTTGGGCCACCGATATCGCATGCTGAAAATTCCATACTTGTACCAAAAATATAGTGTGGAATCAAGCTGTAAATCAAAAATAAAACAGAACGTATCTCTGATATGTATCCACATGATGTGTGTCCTGTTTTTGACAGTCTGTTATATTTTGCTATGTGTATATGGATCGATATTCCATTATGACTGACATTATGCTCTTGTCTGTCCACTAACTAAATCAACAACGTATGACCTTGTTATCACATGACATTACAACTAATCATGCTAAGATGACTGTCTTATCGGTGTATTAGCCATTTTCATATATACTCTTGCTTTGGACACTTTTATATATTCGTGTTCACACACGTTTTGTACATTGCGTACCATTTCACTCACACACTCTTGTGTGACATTTATTTTCCTTGTCTGGAAAATACAAGTATCATTGTAAACCTGGTGGTTGTCTTCTGATTTCCCTCTTTCCGCGTCAGGACTATTAACTACTCGACGAGTACATAACATAATTGGCGACGGGGAAAACTACTAATAACTCACTCAACAGCAGTACATAACAATCTCTAGTTTCTAAAAAGTAATATAGTTAGCTGACGAGAGAGGTTGATTGCAGAATCCTTGTTCGTTGAGTCCACACCCAACCCGTGCAATAGGAATGACTCCTCATTCATACCGGAAATACGGAAAATACTACTACCAATCAAATGAAGAGATGGAAAATAGTGATGGAATTATCTAGGCGAAGTTATAAAGTTGTGTGAGTGAGTTGGTAGGTTGATTTGATTATGAGTAGGAATAAATAGTGCTCGAAACATCGTCATCAGTAAATATTAGTATAGAATACTGTAAGACTTTATTAAAATATAGTTTTCTCCATAATGGAATTACACAGAACGCCCAAGTTTTATTCTTATATCAATAACTGAGAATCGAACCACGGACCATGTATGTTGTTAGTAAACAATTGTCGCCTAACTACTAGACCCGAAATGAGAAGAAGAAGTTATCGAAAAGAATATTCCAAGTCCACTATAATCATTATTTTAAAATACCTCAAAAATAACCACACACACAAAATATTTCACCCCAAATGTCTTGATTATTTCATGTCTCCATGGTTCCACACATAGACAATGCATACATAAATACCCAAAACTGTGAATGTAACATAAATGATCAGTGAGTTGACACCAAGTTATGCACAAGTTAGTTTGACAAGGGTTGAAGAAGTTAGTAAACCATAACTATTTATGAAACACCTTTGATATAATTCGATATTGTTTCGAATATTTATTTGGTTAGATGTCTTCCACAGTATTAGAGATCATAATGATAGTGGGAATAACAATATTGATTAGAACTTACGCGGGCTATTTCCTAATTAAATTGTTAGAAAAAGACAAAAGTATATAAACTTTCTTGGAGTGCATTATTTCATTCACTCAGAAATGTTTGTTTTTTACCTGGAGGACGTTCGCTGGTCAATCTAGACAGTACAATAAGTGTCTCCCAATAGTTTTATACTGCTAGAGAACTACAGAATGATCTTAAATATATTATAATATATCATTTTAATAAAAGGGGGGACGGAAGCCACCAAACAGCTGCCCGTAGATTAAATAAGTTTCTCTCTCTCTCCATATGTGTCTCTCTGATCATATACAGACCTAATTTCCTAAATGTCATTTTTATATGCCTTTTTGTACTTCTCTCACCCCACTTATTGATTTATAACCTGATTTTCTCTCACCCTACTTATGACCTTTGGAATCCTATTGGTTGTTCACTGTCTTAACTTGTCAATGACTTTAGTGCTTCTCAAGGTCATTCTAAACATATATATATTCATACGCAAGCTCTGTTAACCTTTTTCGATTGTTATTTCGAGACAGTAAAAGCTCTCTTACCAACGTCAGTCTTCAGTTCTATCTTTTTGCCGCCCGGTGGTATTATTGTTATTATTGTTGACGTGCAATAAGGATAGATTGGACAGTGTATTATAGTTAACATTTGCTCACAGTCTACTAGGTCATAGCGTATCAATCCCAAACATTATTATTGAGAGTAAAACTATCTCGGATAGACTTGAGTTGGCACAGACTATTTCTTATTGATGTAGTGGGATGATGACTGTGGCTGGAATGATAGACAAAACCAGTATCCCCTGAATAACTAGTCTAATGATCCACGAGAACCAAGATCTCGATCATAGTAGCCGGCAGAACGTGAGACTAGTTGTTCGGAGGCTTCTGTAACACAGACGTTCACTTCCCTTTCAGTAGTCATACATAAGCATATATATTAACGTAGTGAATTGAATTTTAGATTTTCCCATCGATTGATTGGACCGAAGCACTCGGTCTCAGGTTGACAAGTCGACTTCTTGTGCATATGCTTCGACGATGTCTAGGCATGTAATCAGAATTTGATTGGTGGATGGTGAATAGCAGTGGAATCCAGGATAACGCGCATTTCGTCCTATTTCGGACTCGTCCACCAGCTGGATGTACCTGCATTCCCCAGTAGGTGAGTGATGATGTTCCCACCGAGGCTCGAACCCAGTGACCATAGTTTTAAACTCCAAAAAGACCGAGGAGCACTTCGGTCCAATCAATTGACGGGAAAATCTAAAGTTTAATTAAATAATTAATATGACCGGTTGCACAAGAGGTGGCTGGCTGTTGTAGCCCAAGTGTTCTAGCAGATAACGCTTTGGCGTTTGAAACTATGGACAATGGGTTCGAGCCTCGGTGGGAGCATCATCACTCACCTACTGGGGAATGCAGGTACATCCAGGTGGTGGACGAGTTCGAAATAGGACGAAATGCGCGTTATCCTGGATTCCAGTGCTAGTCACCATCCACCAATAATATAAAACTGCATGTTGAGTATTCAATCATTTGGTACTTTTACTTACCTGAAACACCATAATAACCTGATCCTTGACTTGTAGCAGTTGTATGCTTAGAACGTGGTCGTGAAACACGTTCTTGTGATAAGATCCCAGATGAAAGACCACCACCGCCACTAGTACGATATTGTGATCCTTTTGCATATTTGCCTGTTCGATCATTATAATTATCATAAATATTTTCATAACCTGGAGTAGAAGGAATTGACATACCTTCAGGAGGGCTAATAATGCCATCATCAAATGGTAATTGTCCAGGAGTCTTCAACCCTTTCGACGATGGTCGTCTCAGCTGTACAGGAGGATAATTATCTTCACCTGATAACAAGGATGATGAAAAGGTTTTGTTAAAAATTGACTATATAATAACATAATAATAAACTGGAGATGTTGTTTAAAAATCTAAAAAAAAAATTAGTGTTTCGTTTTTGTAAATTGTGGTGTAGTTATTATTGAAACAATAAGAATTAAGCATTTACTACGGAATTTCTCGACTTAGTGGCAGTTTTTTCTAATCGCTTGATTGATAGTTCAATGCTGCTGCATTAATTGAACCCCCTCATCAGTGGAACACTTTGAATTGAAAAAGTTAATTTTTCACTGATCGGATGAATAATAATAATAATAATTTTTTTTGCTTTATTCCAAAAACAGTACTAACAGTACAGATACAAGGAATTTTCAGCATTCAGTACAATATTGCATCTAATTTACTCAAAAACGACAAAAAATAATAATAATAAACATTACATAATTATAATAATAAAATGTTGTTATAGCAGCTATGTAGCAAAATACTGTATGCAATACCGTGAAAAATATGCATAAGGTATAAAATTATAGTAATAATAGTAATAACAACTAAAATAAAATTGCTAAATTATAATTAAACGACAGAAAGTGTGATACCATAAAGTACAGAAAGATGAACTATGAAAGGGTCGATTCACTGTGCTAATTACATAGTAACTTCTTATGTGTTCCACGTCTAACAGAGTCTTCATCGCATAAAGTTCGGGCTAAATAGGGTATTGTAGAATTTTTGTACTTAGTGATTCGAGCATATAACTTTTGATATATTGACTTCTCGTCCTACCTGATGAGATGCAAGGGGATAGTTGTGAATAAAGGGGGTGCAGAGGGTCTGACAGTACGGTTTTTACGCATTTTGTACAGGAATTTATGTGTCTCTCGACTATATTATTGGCGAGCTCACTCAGTGGCATACCACAAGCCCTACTCACAACATTTAATACCCTTCGTAATATGATATGACAGTCTTTTTTGAGAAACCCAGGAAAGATTAATGGAGAGCAATAGAGTACAGAATGGACAGCTATTAAGTTGGAGTTAGAGTACAACCATTATTAGTGAAAGGGTATTCCAGAGAAGTAGTATTTTGGCGGTCGAGACACTGATTAATCTATCGATGCATTTATCATCGAAATACACAAGCTAAATATTTACAAAACTCTGTTATGATTCGAATTACTCACTCATAGTCTAGTTTTAACTATCCATATGTAAGAGTGTGTTATTTATTATCCGATAATAGTTTACAAAACACACATTTCAGCTAAGCTTCTAATCAGCCCAATTCTCAAATGAGCAAAAAATGCAGACTTCTATCATTTCACAGGACTAGCTAGTTGCATTAATTACCACTCAATCATCAATCCATATTATTTATAACTCTCATCCTACAACTATGGTTGTCACTTGAGAAGCTTGAAAGGACAACATCTTTTATTTCAGGAATGAATGACACAAGCTTCAATTTCATTAGGAATATACTTTTTTTTAAACACGGCTTCTAGTCAGTTAACTTTTAACATTTACCAGTCCATTGGTAAAATAATATCATGGTCACAATTTTTTGTTATTCTATAAGTGTTCATGGTTATTTTTTATTGATAATCATATCAATGCATTCACATGACTTTCTAATTAGCTTGAAGTATCATCCAGTTGTGAAATAAACTTATCTAATATAGAATTATATTCTACGAGAGTGTGTAAATTCTACTCTTATACATTTTGTTTGAATTGGCTCAGTGATATAGCATTCATTCATGAGGTTATACTTACGTACGAGCGTCGGTGGCACAGTGGTTAGGACTCTCGCCGACTATGCACATGGTCCAGGGTTTGATCCCCTGATGACGCTCAACCGATATCTATGGTCGGCCTGCAAAATTTGGGCTACCGATATCGCATACTGAAAATGCCATACTTGTACCGGAAATACAGTGTGGCATCAAGTTGTAATCAAAAAAAAAAATTAACTTAATTCTTGAAGATATAATTAAACACAGTAAAGAATTCTTAGCGTCTTCAGAGTATGAAAACTACTCACTTCATGTAACTAAGAGCACCTAAGTCAGCAACAAAGATATTCCGTCTTTCCGTAAATTCATATCAAAGCTGTACAGTTATTTATTATCACTATTATTATTTCCTTTAAATCCTAGAGGAACATAGGGCTTCAGACAAATGTCTCCATTGCTTTCGGTTCTCTGCTAGAGTTTTCACCTGGCTCCAAGTCTGCCCACACGCTTTCATCTCCTCTTCACACGACCTCCTCCAAGTCACATCACCCTTGCACTGACGACCAACTCGCCACTTCCCTTTCGGGTTCCACTCGAGCGATGGATTGTCGAGTGATGTCACTTGATGGTTTCCTCAGAGTATGGCCTCCATTTCTTCCTGCAGATTTGCTACACAATCGGTTCCTGGTTGGATTGCTCCCAGAAATCCCTATCGCTGATATTTGAGTGATGTTGAGCGAAGAGAGCTGTTAATGAATGTCTGTAGTTTGTTTGAGGTGCTCTTTATGACGCTCTGGCCAAGTCTCTGATCCGTATAATAAGTAGCACAGACTTCACATTGGAGTTGAAAATCCGGATCTTATTTTCATACTGAGTGATGTTGATCTCCATACAGACTTGAGAGTAATGAAAGTTTACCTTCCTTTTCCGATTCTTGCTTTGATATCCTCGTCAGTTCCACCTGTAGTTGAAACGAAGTAGTTGCCAAATCACCTCTCGATCGACGTTGTCGAAGGCCTTTTCAAAGTCAATGAAGTTGAGACAGAGAGGTGACTGCCATTCCAAGCTCTGTTCAAGGATGATCCACAGTGTTACGATTCGATCGATGCATGACATATATCTCCTCAATCCAACTTGTTCCGGTCGAAGTTTTCATCCAGTTATTTAGGTGGGGTTATATATGCAGTAGAGATTGACAACAGAGTAAAAGGTTATCATTGTCAGTTAGTTATAAAGCAATTGCGTTGGTGGCGAAGTAATTTGGAAACTGCCTCAACAATATAAAGTGCAGTGTTCCAAATCTTTATCAATCTCATTCAACAGATGGCTGTATGACAATCCTTGCCAAGTTTCCGGTGATCCCAGTAATGCCTTTGAAGTGAAGACAAGGAGTAAGACAAGATGCTTGCGTATTATCAACCACGATGATATTCTCAATTGCGGTGCGAGACTGGATTATGTGTCAGACAAATGTGATTTGGGAGTGAGAAGACAGGAATATGCTGCTCTGGCCGATAAGAAGGACTCCATCTAGACGATCTGGATTTCGCGTGTGCATGATTTATGTTTAATGTGACACACACTCACACAAACTCAACGACTTACAGACAGGCGAAAACCAACGAACTGACTAAAGAAGCTGGCTGTCTGGCAGGCAGCGAAGATAGGACTCCAGGCGAATATGGAGTAGGTGGAGACTTAGGTGATGAAGACAACCAACCTACAGCAACAACAACCAGCACCAATCACCATCCATTGGGGGAGATTTGACAGAGGTTACTTCCTGACTTCACTTATCTGGCTAGAAAGCAAAGTTTCAATCACAAGCCAGACAACACGGATTAAGATGTCAAAGCCAGTCAGCCAGCCATCCGACCAGTGGGGATCGGGAAGACACAATACGCCTTCATTAACCAACCTGAAACCAGTTTGGAAATCCTCTGCACTGACTCACTCAACCAGTCAGCTAGCCAGAATAATGAACAAGATTCAGATTTACAAGACCAGTGTCAAGTCAGTGTTTCTACACATTGGTCAGAAATTCGGTGCACCACGAAAAAGGATTCCTAACAGACTGAGGCAGAGTTTTATTAACAACTGTCCCCTTTCGCTGGCTGGCGGGCTTCACATAGTGAATATCACTCTTAGCCAGCTGGCCGACCAGAAGGAATCAGCAACAAGAGCCGATTTCTCAACACATATGTTGTAGAAAATGGAGATAGATAGAGGGGGCATACATTGACAATACCGTCGAATGACATCACACACAATGCAGGCCGTTGCTTGAGTGAGTTCCCAATGGGAATCGACGAGTGAGCCATCAGTGTGAGGGTGATATGGATGAGATCGTCAGGCGAGGAAGAGAAGGAGATGAGAGATTATGGGAAATTGTGGCCCCAGCTGAAGAGGACGGCAGAAAATAAGATAAAGTGGGGGGGGTGTTGTTGAAGCCCTATATCCCATTCGGAACCCAACGGAATAATAATAATAATAATAGAAGATGCATTATGTCCTGGATGGGATATTTTCCGTAGCCTAGTGGTTTAACCAGATAGCCATGATAATGTATTTGTGAAGCAATATCTCATAATAAGGTCTTAGTAATTCCAGGTGGACATATGATCTGAATATATGACCATAATCTTACTTAGTAGGATAAATGATTCAACAAGTGAGCTATAATCGGGATGCATAGAGGAATGAGGGAAAGAGTGATATTATGTGGAAAACAAAATAATTGAGCGAGCAAAGAATATCCTTTCCGATAATTTCCTCTTCTGGCTCTACAATTATATACATATATATGCATGTTTATATACACAGAATATTCTAGAATTTCTTGATGAGGAACTTATTAATAATATTAACCGACTGCTGAGTGAAAACGTTTATCCAGAAAAGTTTATTGATAAGAACATGAAGCGAAAATCAAGGCAGCTCAAGATACCAACAGTTTAACTAATCAAAAATGTCATTGAATTGGATTTTTTGATTTTTCCGTCGATTGATTGGACCGAAGTGCTCGGTCTCAGGTTGACATGTCGGCTTCTTGTGCAATTCAATAATTAATATGACCCGTTGCACAAGAGGTGGCTGGCTGTTGTAGCCCAAGTGTTCTAGTGGATAACGCTTTGGCATTCGAAACTATGGGTACAAGGTTCGAGCCTCGGTGAGAACATCATCACTCACTGAGAAATGCAGGTACATCCAGATGACGAGTCCCAAATAGGACGAAATGCGCGTTATCCTGGATTCCACTGCTAGTCACCA